TTCAGGTGGGTGGAGGCCCTGCGTAAGAAACGGGGTCCGTTGCTTCCCCTGATGTCCCTTTCCTCACTTTGCGGCTGTGAGCAGCAGTAGCACAGAGGGGCTGAGGGATTGCCCTCCACAGCCAGGTGCATCTAGGTTTGGTTCCTGGTTCTGCCGTTGAGCCTGTGATTTGGGGCAAGACTTAACCGCTCGCAGCCTGAGCCACTCACCTCTCAACTCCTCTTAGGTGGGTGAGGATTAAATATTGTGAGACCTGCGAGCCTGAATTTCAGGAGGTGATCAGGAAGGTCACAGTGAGATTAAACACTAGTTGCAGCATCATTTTTCTTTGTTAACAGGTAATTCAAGGCCATGTGTTACTGGTGTTACTGTTGATTACGAGTCTGTGTTATTTTAAGGAAGAGCAACTCAGGCCATCTTAAAAGTTTACTATAAAAAATAGACATGGTCTGAAATTGGTAACCAGAGTAAAATTATTATTTATAGATATGAATGTTTATCCAGAAAACCTGAGAAAAGGGAAAAACTGTTAGGAACAATAATAGAAAGTTTGAGTGAAGTGACTGCAATGGAAAATGACATACAAAAAGTGTTCACTTTCTTACATAGACATAAAAATCGCATCAATGGGAAAATGAAATAAAAGATTCCGCTCACAGTATTAGCCCCCAAGCTTAAAATAACTAAAACTAAACATAGTATAAATTTTGCAGTCCTGTGTCATTCTATAGGACATGAAAGAAGCCTTGAATATTGTAAATCTGTCAGTTCTCCCTAAATTATAAACTTGAATGTGATTTCAAAATTCCAATATCATTTTTTTAATTAAAAAAATTTTTTTTTAATTTGAAAAACGTGAGAATAATCAAGAAATGTTTTTTAACAAAGGGAAGAAGAGCAGAATGATGCACCTTTTGCCAGACTGAGATGTACCTAGGACAGCAGTTGAGTGTGGGTATTGGTACCAGTTTCATTTCAGGAGGGAAGGAGGGGCTCTGCATTCCACCACAGGGTGCACAGGATGTCTTAAAATTTCAAATTATAACGCATGTAATTAATTCGTCAGGCAGCACTTGAAAAGCAGAGCCATTCAGCTCTCTGTCGTCTGTGTTTAAATCTGTTCATTGTTTAAGATGGAGCCACCCATGCGTGCACTAGAAATGATAAATTCTGCTTCATTTTAGGATGTCCCATTCAGATCTGCTCATCCATATGTTGGGAGAAGGTGTTGACTAGGTAGACTTTAGGGGCCTTCCCAAGCTCAAGGCTCTGTGGTCCTCACCACTCACGCCCCTGTGCCATCCCTGTCCACTTCCTGCTAGTTCTCAAACCAAGTGAAGTTACGTTTGCTGTTACAGGAATCTATGACATTCACAGACGTGGCCGTGGACATCACCCCGGAGGACTGGGAGCTCATGCGCCCTGTGCAGAAGGAGCTGTACAAGACCGTCACGTTGCAGAACTACTGGAACATGGTTTCTCTGGGTGAGCATCATCCGCGCCACCCCCCAGGCAAACCCACCAGAGTATTTCTTTCCTCAGCTGTTAAAAATGGGCTGGCACAGAGGTGAGCGTGCATCTCCCGTCCAGGCACAGAAATGGCCAAGTTCTAATCTCTTTTCCCAAACGAAAGGTTTCTAAGTGGAAGGTCATCAGAAACTATGATGACCAGCCTCCCAGGGCCACCCCCGACTCTGTGCCTTACCCGTTCCCTGCCCGCCCCCCCATCCCATGGTCTCTATGCACATATTTTCCAGGGTGGCAGGGAATTTTTGTGCCAGCTCTGGAAAGGACAGTGACCTAATCCATTAGCTCATGTCCGTGAGCCATTCTTTTCACGTAGAGGTCCGTGCATCCTCGTGGATGAGAAGTCAGGTAATAAAATTTGAACAACTGTTTAGCTCCAGGACAAAACTCATTCTCTTCCTCCTGAACAGGACTTACGGTGTACAGACCAACTGTGATTCCCATATTGGAAGAACCATGGATGGTGATAAAAGAAATTTTAGAAGGCCCCAGTCCAGGTGAGAGAACAGCCAGCAGGTGGGATTCTTTGTGGTTAAGAGCCTGTATTAGCCTCCGTGTGGTGAAGTCGGTTTTAAACGTGGCCAGGTCACTTTGCACAAAGACGCCTGAGCCTGTCGAGAACACTGAGCTGCTTGGCATTGCTTCCTCACGGAGACCATCTTCAGGAAGAGAA